TATATATATATATTTTTTTTTAATTATTTCTGTTATTTCTGTATTTATTTGAAAAAAATTTTTATATATTGTTAAAAAGTATCCGATTTTTCAATTTGCATTAGATTCCTGAATATTAAAAGAAATATATATTTTTTTTTAACAGAAAGAATTATTTCTGTATTTATTTGAAAAAAATTTTTATATATTGTTAAAAAGTATCCCATTTTTCAATTTGCATTAGATTCCTGAATTCCTTAAATATTAAAAGAAAAGAGAAATCCATTGATATAACAATGATCAATAAAAGCGATACGCAATAAAATGAGATTGCTCATAATCAAAATATATATTACGTGCTTACCTTGTCATCATAAAATCCTTGATCATCCGTCCTCTGTTGTCCAAGTAATCGATCTGTTTCAAGATCGGTATCTGCCTCCTCCTCGTCCGGACACTCCTCGATCTCCACATCGGCTTCGTCGCCTATGCGACGCGCATCAGATTCTTCACTATTGTTTTCCATGCAGATTCTTCGCCTGCCGTCCATTATACTGCATCTTAGTTAGATGCGTTTAAAGCGCGAAACAATGAGATATCCCAAAGGGTATCCCAAACGTACGTATTTAGCGTCGTAAAAGGAACGTTTTATCAAGCAAGAGTACCGAAGCAAAATATCGGACAGATTGGACAACACAATTGGAATACCCTTATCTTTATATAAAACAAAACGTAAGATACCTTGGTATCCATATCGGACTGACGCTCGGTTCCGGTGGATCTTCGGACGGAGATTTCACAGGGAGAGTTTTAGTCCTTTGCAGTGCCATCCTGATGTCTTTGATGGCTGCTTCTACCTCACCGCAGTTTACCTCCAAGGTTACACTTTGCCGTCCCTGAGGCGCCGGTGGCGGCGGCGTACCCAGTGGATCCAATCCGTCGAGCTGCAATTCGTTCGTATCGTACGAATTCTCCTTCTTTGCGGTAAATAGATCGGGGGACGATGTAGTCTTCAATGTGTGTAAAATATCCTTTGTTACATTGAGACCAATGTCTTTCCCGGATTCGTTCTCGTTTGTGCCTAACATGTCATTACGAGTTCTCTGTATAATCTCTTTTTCTATTTCGTTTATCTGCCGTTTCATTAGCATCACAGTAGGATTATTGTTATCGGTGTCGCTTGCATGACCGCTAGACAGACCGTCTTCCAATACCGGCATACTAGTGTATATTCTCAGGGAATCCGAATTATTCCCCAAATCGCCGACCGATCCGAGAAGGCCACTTGCTGGCATCAATTCGTTATCCATCATCATGAGAGACACTTCGCTGTCTAAGTCTCCGCAATTGCTGTCGCAGTCAGTTGTCTCGGGGCTCAGCGTGAAATTACGTGAATGTCCTACTTGTAAACCGACCTCGGTCTCTCCGAGATCTTCACTGCTACCTGTACCTACCGAGAGGTCTAGAAAATTGTTTTCGTGTTCACCTGTCTAAAAAAAAGCAAAGAAAAAACTCAGCTGAAAATATTTATTCTCATAGCATAATGGTTCGTATTTCAAATATTTAATAAAGCTTCTCTCACAAGCGACCACATGTATACAATATAAGAACTATGTACCTATATATAAATACAGATTTATATTTAGAATTCAACTGCAATTCAACTAGAAGAAATCTAAGTTCCAAACATTGGAGTATCTGTAGGCATTTTAAAGTTATTAGCAGCATTTTCATTGTATTTATTATTGTTTTAAAGTTGTTAACATTATTTGCATTATATTTCTTGTTTATTGCACAAGTTTCTAATATAAATATCATTAATTTTATGTGAAACTTTAACATGACATGAGAGAAACCAAGATTAATAAATTTTGAACAAAGGGAAAAAGACAAAATCCTTAAGGTAATATTTCTTATTTTATATATTTTTATGCTTACATTTTGGGGAAATTCCGCCCGTTGCTTCTTAGGAGATTCGTGTACCATAACCTCCTCCGTTACTGGTGGACCACTAGCTAATCGCTGACCAACATATGCACTTCCTCCTTGTCTTCGTAATTCATAATCAAGATCCTTGCGTGCAACAAAAAATACTTTTGTTAATTATTTATAATTTATAAATTTATATATTAAAAAATTGTGTGCATTTTGATATTTGTTTTTTAATTATAAATTATTTGATAGAAATTCTTGATTATATCTTTTCTTTATCTTCTTAACAGAAAAATCTATTTAACAACTATTATTTCAACAAAAACTTACTTGGAAAGGAAAGGATTCTATATTGTTCTCCTTTTCTTTCGTCGGCGCCGGGCATTTAAAGAATTCTTCCAATACTTTCCGCGTTTCTGAAAATTCGTACAGATAGTCGAAGGTACTACCTCCTGGCGTGACGAGACTGCTTATATTATCAGCAGGCAAAGTCGATGGCTTTAAAGAATCATCCTCTTCCTCTTCCGCTTTTGGTGATGGAGTTGAAGGATCGATAGGCTGATCTTCGATACTAGTATTTTCTATCACAGTCTTGTCTATAATGATTTCTCCAGAAGTATCTTCCTTCTTGGGGCATCAGAAAAAAATCGACAAAATATTAGACTGTCCAACTGATTCTATATACGATATTCCGCAAACAATATCTATCTTTTACCTCATTATGATTTGGTGTTGTTGGTAATACTCTCTGCGGAAAACCAGGCCTTGGTGTCATATACATTGAAGGCGACGATAATAAGCTAGGAAGCTGTGTATTTTCGCGAACTCCATAACGCCTCGGGCTGCCAGAATATTGAGCAATTGGTAATTCACCAATAACCCTCGCAACTTTATGATTACGTTCCGGAGACGGGGAATCTGCCTCGCAATCGCTCGCTGGTGTAACAACCTACAAAAGTTGAAACGCAAAAGATTTGTGAAAATCCTTTAGTTATATAATATTATATATACACTTATATCGCGCATTATTACTTTGAAAAATTCTGAAGTATTGCGGTGATATGCTGTCGTAGGACTAGGAGTACTCCCAACACTGGAACTCGGTGGTTCCGGTGCAATACGACCTCTTTGAGAATCGTCCGTCTCCAAGTCCACACTCGCTGCCGTAATTTGGTTCGTATTGCTCGACGCCAAATCTAATCGCAACCCTTGCCAGTTGTCATCAATATCGTCGAAAACCACAACTTCACCATCACTGACTATTGCCATACTTCTCGCAGGTGTGTTGTGATTTGATTGATAATCTATGCAACTCTTTGGTAATCCATAGTCCAGATCGGTAATACTTTTTGGTATGGTATATTCTACATTATTGCTATTCAAAATCGAATCGTAATTAATTATACGATTGCTACGGTTGCTCTTAGGTGAGTCGTAATCCAGAATGGATTTTGTGGGGTTGCGTCGCACTGAGTGTACCTCAGAGGCAAATACAGTCTCTGTCACTTCTCGATTTGCACGTTGCTTTCTGCTTTCACCGCATCTGAAAACTCATAATAATTAGTAATACTGTCATACAGAGTAATGTAGAAAATTTTTAAAGAGCTTCTTTATTGAAAGAAATTTAATTACCGGCTTCGTAATTCCCATATGGTCTGTGTGCTAGGAGATTTGTTATTCTTCTTAACAGACAGCTTATTATCGGTTTGAATGTCCTCGTTATTTATAGAATTTGACGCAGCCAGAAATCTTGATTTTCTAGCTGCTACCTTTCCTCGGCTTTGTGAGAATACTTCTCGACCACCAGCAATTTCTATAATTCTGTGGAAAATGCAAGAGTTATTACATAAGTTTGCAATAATTTCTATGATTCTAAAGAATTACACACTATTTCCTAGAACCTCATACATGAATTTAATACATATGTTACTCTACAATATTCATGTATAAATTTAATAACGCACTCTCATTTATTTCGAAAATGAACACAGAACAAAAATATTGAAAAAAATTTTAGCTTTTCAAAATTTAATGCATCCTAAAGTTAATCTAAAGTCGTTTTTGAAATAGGTAACTTATGCATATATACACTCTGTATAAAAAATATTTTATATAAATTCATATTGATGTTTTATCGATAGAACTAAAACTTCGTGATACGGCGAGTTATAAATCTTGAAGAAATTCAACGAAGCTGATATTTGCACAGCGTATCGCATTTCCAATGAGAATAAATTCCGTCTTATCGCATACGCGAGAAAAGATAAAGATTTCACAAGCAAATAAAATCGCGCGTGACAGGCGAGTTAACCCCCAAAACCGACGGGTGGTGCCCCATAATAAATTTACACACCGTTCGCCTTTAATACATCCGTCGACGACGAAAATAATCTCATCCTTACGCTCTCCATACGATTCATCGATCTTCGAGCCCTGGATCGAACCTGGAATGCTTTATTGAAAAATATTCATCGGGGCAAGAGTCGCCGACAGAGTCACGACGACGGCGAGACGTATATCCGCGAGAAAATCCGGCGCGACTTTTAAGCCCGTAAATTCCCGCGGCGCCCATCTGGACTTCTGGACGCGCTCCCGTCATTTTTGAAGACGCGAGAAAGCCAGAACTTATCGCGAAAAGGCTTTAAAATCTTTGATTTCCACCCCATATCACACGTTATTTCTTTCATTTGCCTGATAATGAAAATTTTTGTATTATTGAATTATTGTATTCATGCAAAAAATGCACTTCTTTTCTTGACAGAAGCCAGGATCTACCGGAATTATCAAGTGATGGCTTCACCAACTTGCGATCTTATCTCGTCGATTTGTAAAATCAAAATCGAACACGAAGCAATGCCGCATTGAAATTCAATAGCTTCTTCCTACGCTCCAGATTGTATAATAAATTTAAGATATGATATTTGAGATGGAAATATAAAATCTCGAATTCTACTAAACAGATACAGGCTGTGTGTAAAAATAATTCATACTAGTTAAGATACAAAAGCGGTCAATCGTTTCGGATACTCCGAACATATAAAAAAATGAAAACTTATTTTGCTATAAAATTTTTTTTCTGATCGAACATCTCTTCGAAATTATCTAATTCAAAGTTAAAGAGCATCCACACTTCGATAACGATTGCGCTTGAGCAAATCTGGATCGAGTGTCGAATAGCTGAAAATAAACGGTAGATATCTGTATATATTCACACATTTATCTATTGATAAGCGATAAGTCGATAAGCGCCACTCGATTAACGATTAATATAATGATAGCCCAAATAATATCAGAAATTACAATTCTCCTTACAATATTAATTCGTGCCAATTTTAAAAAGGTATCTTTACTTGAGACGACGAGCTAGACCTCGCAATGTCAAACTTAATTTTTAGAAAAATTTTTGGATGATAAACCGCATTCAAATCACCTTCGTTTCGTAATAATTTTGTTTTATGGAAGAATAAAATTTGAAAAAATGTATTATATTGTCATATATAAAGATAAATATTGTAATACATAAGATTTGTCGCTGTTAATTCGCGATTACCCCCCAATGAGCAAGACAATATTTTTGAAAATGTTTTTAAAAACATTAAACCAATGAGTTAAGGCCCATTTTAATCATTAAAAAATGTTTATATTAACATCCAATGAGTAGACAATATTTTTTAAACGTATTTTTAATATTTATTAAATTAAACGTAATTTTAAACGTATTTTTAATAAATATTAAAAATACGTTTAAAAAATATTTATAATTCATTAATTGTAAAATATACAATTAATGAATAATAAATATTAAAAATACATTTAAAAAATATTGCCTGCTCATTCGATGTTAATATAAACATTTTTTAAAATATTGTCTACTCATTGGGCCTAAGAAGCATACGTGTGACATTTGAAAGCACGCGAGGAGTTGCGTGATTATTATCATCGACAATGAAGACATTTTCGAGGGAAATCTCTCACGTGCGAGAAGAAGAAGGGAAACATATTTACGGATCACATACTGCTGCGAGCATATTGACTTGTTTGCTATATATCGGGCAACTTGTGCGACATATTAACGGTAGCGAGAAGTAGAGAGAGAGGCTGATATTTGAGTGACATTTCCTCTCCCGAGTATTAAGCTTGAAATTAACGCCCCGTTGAATGTACACGGACAACTGTGTCAGGTTGTGAAACGGGTGGAGCTGTATCGGCTATGAAAACTGGACGCTCGTATCCACGTGTAACGTCGTATAGATACATAAAGACCCAAACGTCACACAAATGGACTTTCATCGTCGACGAGTGTTCCGTCGTATAAACGCGCAATCCGCTCGAATTTAATGCCGCCAGTAGAGAAACATAATATTTGCATGTACACAAGCGTTTGTATATCTCGACTTTATAGCCTGTTATCGATTTTTATGCAATTTAGCCGTTCGACTTAACATTCTCTCTGTAACTGCACCTTCTAATTAACTTTCATCTCTATTTTAACTCACTTCCGTTTTACATATATATATATTAGAAACATGACCTATTTTAAATTTTGATCATTGGCTTTTAATGAATTATATATATTTCATATATATAATTATTCATATAATATTACTTTATATATATTTTTTATATTTATTAGGTTACTTAAATTTTGTAAAAAGGAAGTTTTAAAGAAAAATTAATTAATTACTAAATACTAATCGTGCATTCTGTTCTGAAATAATTGAACAAAATTAACAACCTTTTTATATGTTTAAAAAAGACACTTTTTTGAAAAAAAAAATTAGAATACTTATCTTTATGTATTAATTTCTCCTGCATTAGCAAAAATTTTGAGAACTTATACACAATGACGCAAAATACAATTAACTCAATTTCTCGTATTTGTCTATTTTCATAATGACGTAGTAATTATAGAAATTATAAAAATATATTGCGGCTTTTTCAGTAGCAGTGTTATTTAAAATTTCATAAAAAACATTTTCATAAAAATCTTAAATACACGACTTAGGTGACTGTTACTATTATTCATAATCAATAAAAAAATAAGATTTCAATCGTGAAAAATTTTTCAATAATTAAAATCTTGGAGAAATATTTGAAATTACATTCTACAGTAACATTTTAATTTATTTCAAGTCTATCAAAATGGATTGCTATATTCGTATATAAAATATCTCTTTTCATTGAATAAATGAATAAATTGACGAGTCAGTACTCTCTTATAAAGCTAATTGAGTTTTCGCGAAGCAATCCATTACCTCGAATCTCGGAGTTTATAGCTGGGGCCTCCCTTCGCCGAGGTGAGGATGTACACGGGACTCTCCTCCGGTCCGCTGTCATCCTGTTGCGATTGTCCTTGATGATCGCTACCGGGCAGACTCCCATATTGTGGCGCGTCCTCGCTGCGTCCCGACGCCGAGGACGAGCTCGACGAAAGCGGCTTCGTGGCGTGCGGCAGCTGGCCCTCGACCGTGAAACCGGGCACCACGCTCGCCGTCCTACGGGACAGCGAACCTGATTTTTTTCTGCCATTCGCTCGTTTCCTATACCTACGAACGTAACTTGGCACTTTTAACACAGTCGGCAATCGTGTTAAAAGGAATATAATTTTTATCAAAAATAATAATAATTATTTGAAAAAAAAAGAAATTCTTGGAAATTCTTCTATTGTGTGGTGTATTGTCGTCATAATTAAGGAATGTGACGGAAGACGAGTGTAATTTCATCTTTTGAAAAATTATCCGAATGTAATTTTATTAACAGAAACTTTATGTGAATTTTACTCTCAAAAAACCAACATACATTCGCGAAATTTAATTATTCTTTCACATTTTGCTCACAATGTGCAGCTTTTTATCTTCATTCCGCACGTTTATTCCATCTAGCTCCTCAATTAAGTAATTAGCTACCCAGCATTACACCACGTGTTATGTTATAAGCAGCATAATAGAGAAATGAGTGGAAATAAAACTTTTACATACGCATCTTTTACATCTGTAATAATGTCGCTCATTACAAAAATTCATTAAAAAGTATTAACGATGGAATTACCGCTGAAAACTAGTCAATATGTACAATAATTATTTCGAGATAATTATTAAACTTTCTATCTCTATTAATAGAATGCATCCTTAAAGTACATCGAGACCAAATTTAGATACGGCTTTGCGTATCGGAAACCGGATCTAAATCATCGAGAGAAGGAAGGGATGGATATCGTGTATCCATCGGTTTAACCTTGCAGTTCTTCCGGGATATCCCGAATGCACCCGGATCGTCCTGCGCTTCGCCCGGTAAATGGGTTTAACTTGCCTGTCGGGGATGTCGCGCTCGAGGTCAATCATGTCGTCCGATATCGCGGAGATGCTCGTCGACGTGGAGGCGATGGTGACGACGGCTGTTGCGGTGGTCGCGGCGGTGGCGGTGGTGATAGCGGCGGCCTCCGTCTGGCAGGGGCTGTCATGCGGCTGCTGCTGGCTGCTCTGCGTGGAGGCCCCCGGGGGTGGGCCGCCCCTAGGCCGGCATTTCGGAAAGAGTCGGTTCAAGTCAGCGTTCTCCAAGATCAGGCTTGTCATCGCCACGGCGCGTTCATGTCTCGCAGCAGGATGTCCATTCTACTACGGATATAAAGATGAATTAGCGACGTTAGACGCCAGACGTCTGTCACGCGATATTACGCTGTCGTGTAATACAGCGTATTTTAAGGAATTTTCAACTGGACGACAGTTCTCTTTCTTTCAACGTCTCGCGTATCTCTATACGAATTCGTTCTTTAGTCACCTGCACGAGTCTCACGCGAAATGATACGCGTGCAAGTTTCCTTTTTCTTTTTGCAAACTGAATGATATTTCCTTGGAATTATATCTTGCGTGATACGCGAATATCTCTTTAATTTATGATCGATTAACAAAAAGAAGGTTTGGACAAATGGCGTTTTATAAAAATACATGATACAAATTTGTTTTAGATACTTTTAGATAGATTTATTAATATACAGTTTGAAAAGCGATATCTATTTCAATCTAATTCTATTTGAAAATACATCTCATGTGGAATCGCAATGTCTAATTATTATTTTAGAACAAATTTTAAATTTTACACTTTATTTGTATTATCCAGTTCTTTTCTTGAAAGATATTTCGCGTAATTTGCGTTAGAATTGTGCAAAAAATAAACTTATTTAATGTCAATTAAGCAAGAAAAATACGGTTCAGTGCTGCATAAAATCTTATCTTGTTGCAATGTTTTGCTCAAGATTTCTGCATCACATGTTTATTATTGTAAACAAACGAGCAAACATTTCTAAAGCATCATACACATACTGCAGTGTGCATGGATGGGAGTAATCTCAAAATAACATATGAAAATCGATATATATATCTCGTGAGTGAAATCAACAAACAGCTCATATTCCGCATGTTCATTTCTCAATCTCTGCAGTATCGCGTAAGCTTTAATCAACCCAATTAATAAAACATTAAGAAATTTTCTACTCGAGATTGAGTTTGATATATCCAAGTAAAATATATAAAATTTGCTTGGTCTGACCTCGCTCTAACGACTCTTTAATATAAACCTTGCGTCGATCATGACATTTATAATGTACGACGATATATATACGATCTGTTTTGTTTGTTAAATCTCCTCGGTAAAGAAAAATTGCTTTTGAACAATCTAAAGGGGTCATCGTCGAGATGTGTACCGTCGCGATTTCGAGCCTCGCTCTCCGTATATACGGATGAAAAATCTCGCTCTCTTCCGTTTGCTCTAACGAGGTCGTACTCGCGCGAGAATAACATTCTCGCCACTCAACCGCGACCGCCACTCGTGTCCGCGACACCGCCAAAGTGTTATACTTCATAGTCGGTGTTCACAGGGGCTGGGAGTATCGTGGGGGTGAGATGGGGTCAGGTCAGTAGTGTTGTACATACACGAGGATGAAGGATACAGACACCGTAATACATTCCGACGAGTCGTTGAATAAATCGACTTCTTTCTGACGCCGGGCGTTCAAAGTTATCGAGATAAAGTATCCGATTACGAGATGTAACGATATTGTCATGTAAAAATTATCGCGATAAATATTGACGATATATTAATCCTTAGAAATTAAAAGAAATCAATAAATCGTTAAAATGTTTGGGACGAATCGAGATCTTTATATAAAATGATAAAATATAATATATGAGATCGAACTTTGATATATCGAATCCGCGATATCCGTAAAAAATTTTAAAGATATTGTTTTTTAAACATTGAAAATATTGAAAACGCGACAAATTATATTATACGATATTATATTATCATGGAAGATTAATTTCGATATGCGGAATATTTTTTTCTCTATCGATATGATAATACATGTATTAAATTTCTTGCAAAAAATATTTTACACATTCACACACACACACATACATTTATATATATACCTGATTATTTGTATACATATATCTTTAATTATTCATAATAATTTTATAATAGATATTATTAAAAAATCTCGCGAGAGCATGGAAAATATTTTTCTCTCTCGTACTTTTATTCGACGGTGTTTGTATTCTCGTATAAAATAGCGATCTCACACAAAGGGAGAGCTTCCGAGAAGATTGACGCGTCAAGAGTGTTAATCATCCCTATTTGTGTGACAACCTGCCGCCTCTCGCGAGTATTCTTTCATTTGACAAGCTCGCGCGCGCATATATATACACACACATACACATGTATGCATGTATGTATGTATATATATGTACTTCGCCGGCAGAGTTTCTTCCTCTTGCGGAATTTGCGAGAGCAAACGGTTATTCCGAAACTCGAGTTATTACCCGGTCGCGCGAGCCATTATGCACAACCAACCAACCACCACGCGCTGCGAACTTTCTTACACCGAATTTATTGTTATGCAGTAACTCCGATCTGTAAGCAAAGTCTCGTCGGGTACCGGGCGCGATGAACTTTACGCTTTTAATTAACACCACTTTTGCCGCACGGTACTTATGGAAATTCCATGCAGCCGACGCGACGTCGACCGTCTCCGCCGTAGAGTTATGTTAACTCGACTCCGTCTTTAGAGAACCCAAGAGAGGAGCGTTACGCGTTTTAAGTTCCTATATAAGAGAATTGCGAATTCAATTTGAGAGATAGTGAGTAAACAGGAATACTTCGGGGTTCGGAGTTTGTTCCATCCTCGGAAAAATCTCGACTGCGAGAGAGTTGCGCTTATAAATAAATATCTTATTTTTCGATAAGAGAACTCCGAAAGAAGATTATTCGTCTGTTTCACGTATCTCGACGGGTATCGAAAATTGAATACGTCAAAATTATATTGAATTCGATTATCGATCGGGAGCAGAGAGAGAAACGGGCGAAATAATATTTAAAATATAAAATATAGAAATATTTAAGAAAAAATATATTTTAATACGAGTCTTATAAATGATTAGATTGTAAAAGTAATAATTAATCAATGCGTTAATTAAAATCTTATTTGAAATATCTAATTTTAATTTTACAAATCAGAAGTAAATATTTTAAATATGCATTTCTCAAACTTTCTTTACAAACTTTAAGCAATATCGATTAAGTTATTTCTCTCATTATAATATACGAATAATAATATTGCACATTTATATGTTGTTCTCACGAGAATTTGTACTCATTCTATTTATTTCTCTCTTGAAACATACTTTCCTAAATGTTTCTATTTTTTATTTCCAATATTATTTCGCCCATTTTTGCTTCCTATCGATAGTCGAATCCAATATAATTTTGACGTATTCAATTTTTCACATTATCCAGATACGCGAAACACGAATAAAGAGAGTTCTGATATTAAGGGAAAAGAAGGACTACAGATCCATTCAGTTGGCTCGGTATCATTTGACTCACAGTTATTTGTTTTTCGCGAAATGTATATGTAGCTGTCAAATTATGACATTCACCTTCATATACAATAAAACAACTGTCAAATGATATCCCGAATCAAACTGAGTGGACCGAAATGCCTGTAATCTCGCCCCTAATCTCAATTTTCTCCTATACAAAAAAGGCTCCATATATTATTCTAAGATCGATAAACAGACGAATATAATCCCAACTCGAGAAATTCTCTCATCAAAAAATAAGATATTTATTTAATATAAATATTTCAAACAATAATGCAAGAAATTATATCTAGAATAATTTTTGCGAATTTGAAAATTTCAAACGTTTTTCAAAAATTAAAATGATAATATATGATGATATCTGATAATAATTCTCTCCTCCCCCCCCCCCCCCCCCCCCCCCTCTTTTAAAACTATTATCTCAATTAATAATTTCAATGATCGCATTTCAAATAAATATTTTCTATGTGCTTGTGAGCATATGTCATCTCTCTGTCATCTGTCATCTCTTTACGGAAAATATAAGAAATATCTTTTAACATAATATTTTAAAATAAAATAAATTTTTAAAATAAAACTAATATTTTATTTAAATAATTATTTCGCGTGTGCGTCTGATTGGCAGCACGGATTGGAAATATATCGCAATAGATGCTCAATTTTCGAGAACGTATCCTGATTTATGACACCGGAGGCGATAGGGAGAGATACTATACGCGCATGAATATGAGTCATTCGCCACGCGGCCTTTAATTCACGTGTGACGCATGAGTCAGCGCTGAATTAAAGCGGGATAAAAGAGCGAATGACCCCCCGTGTATTCGTTAGTACATTATAACCCCGCGATATATCGACTCCGCTGCGGAAGCACGTAGCTTGTGCAAGGAATGCGGCACCGTATCCAGGCGGACAGGCGCGTTATTAGTCTTGCATAACTGAACTCGATTTATCCTTTCGCGCTCGCACCGCGGCTCGCATCCGACATATAACGTGTTCCCGTTCATCGTATATAGCGATTTCATGTGACCACTTGCAAACCGATGAAAATCAAACCGTTCCCATTATATACGTGTAGTCCCGCGTGGCTTGCAAATTTTTCCATTGAATATAGAAAAGCACGCGCATACAGAAAAGAAATTTACATAATATAATAGAAAACATTGTTATTAAAATGTATTATTAACATATATATAACTTAAATTATAATATAAATTATATATATGTTCACACGGAAACATTTTTGCGAATATATGCGAACATATAATAGGAAAGATGACCCTATCATGTGTTTCTCGGAATAATAATTTGGGAAAGTGCCTGGCACATTACGTTCTCTCATCAATTTTATTTGTATATAAAGTATATCCTAGGATATCTCGTTAAGTTATTATGATGTATTATATATCAAAATAAATATAGTATAATTTTATCAGAGAGAAAGATCAGATAATGGTAAAAGAATTGTCGGACAAAAATAAAGACAGCATATATTGGTATCTTTATAGACATTTCTGTTGTGAAAAAAGCATGATCCTTTATATAAATAACTGTAAAACTTTACGATGCAATAATATAAAGAGCGAAATAAATGAAAGAATTTGACATGCGATATTTGTATTCTACATGAAAATCCTTTTTCGGCAGACTTGAAAATAGAAAGGAAATAGGCTCCTCCTTGGACGACGTTGTGAAACAATCGGAATTAGAAGCACGCGAGCAGTGTACATACGTTGGCC